TAATGTGTAACCAAGAACTTATTTAATGTAAATGTAGTTAAAGAAAGAAGGGAAAAAGAACAGAGAAACAGCTTTTCTAAATGTAAACCAAAAGAGTTGAGCGTGTACGTTCACAATTTCCTGTATATAACCATGCTTCCAATAAATCACAGAACGCATAGAAAACCCAGGATAACAGCCAAACATGCGGACGATGCCTTAACTTGTCATGCCTCAATGATAATCTTTTGGTGTACTAGAGAACTTCGAGCAAGATTACCGTATACAGAATCTATTATTGTTGCTTATTTTGATGTGCGGGTACACACCACCACATGAATCTGCTATTGAGATGGAACTGAAGGATACTCTTCATTCATTAAATACACGCGCTCGCGACTTCAATTTGAATGAGATTGAGAAGCTGCAGCTGGAACAGGAATAATTTTGACTGACCATTAATTGCAACTTGGATGAGCGAATAGAAACGAGAGCATAGAGACAATTACCACTCTGGACGGTCTCTTGAATTTATCCACATAACAAAAAAGAACAAAACCCAAACTAAGGATAACATCTGGGCCTCCAACAAGGGAATTCGGCCCGCGGTATTTTGACATTACTATCCATTCAGACATTTCGAGCTATTTCATGGGGAAAAAGGTTCCTGAACTCTGAAGACAAAATCAAATTAAGGATAAACCAGAAAACTTAAGAAAAGGCAAAAGAAGAGGCAATAAGCAAACTTCGTTTATGCTGCTTCGTTGAAGAGCAAATAGATGGATTCAGTTTGCAATGGCCAACTCCGATGTGTTTGTTGTTCAAGGCATATTCTAGCCAGAGCGGTCCCAATGGCGAGTCTACATTTATATCTAACCTGTATCCAAAGCTTCGCCCAACATGAGCAGGATCACCTGATACAAGAATAAGGTTCACTCATTTCTAAAGAAAGTGTTGGGTATGAATCACAATTTTAAAAATATTTACTATGACGAAAATTAACTTCCTGAGAAACAGCAAAATAGCGGTAAAAGGTGATTTAAGAAACAATGACGCCAATAAACGCATGTTCAGGAGCCAATAAGCCGCTTCATGCCAGGTTAAGACTGTGAGATGTCTTTTTTTATTTTTTTTATTTTTATTTTGTTGTGCTTAAACCTACTTAGGTGTAATTTCCCAATATGCCACTAAATATACAAAGAGAGGTTTGTGGAGAAGCAACAGGGCTGAGGAGGAGGAAATGGACTGAAATGTTTATGAAATACAACTTCACAAGATCAAATACCATAGTTTATGGACAAGAGATGGATAAACTGATAAAAAGTTATCTTGTACAGGACAGATCAGGACGGATAAAATGAAGATGCATCAAAAGGATGAGATGCATGCCAGAGAAATGCAATCATATAGCAAACCTTACCATTTAAAACCCATGAGTTAGGCTGAAAATGTAGTACATGTAGCAAATAAGCACAGCCATTATAATGGAAATTTTATGACAAAACAACACAATCCTAGAAACAGAGAACAGCTAAAATGTCTGCTAGGTAGAAAATTTTGAGAAAGAGATATTGACCTAGAAGAAACTGAAGGCTAAGGATACATCTATGCAGAGAAAATATACGCAAGGAAGAGAACAGCCTGGGCTAGGCTTGTGATTGCTTGGCCGGAGTTAAGAGTAGGGTTACTGCCTGAATACAATGGCACCTGAATCACAAAAGACAAGTTACAGGTGAGACCGTGAGGATGGAGTAGAAAGTACCAAGACCAAAAGAGGTATGAAATAAAATAAAGCCTCTGAGCATTTTAGAATTATATTAAAATATTAAGGCATTTTATAAATTATCATACCATTCTCCCTTCATGAGAGTTGAGCCACTTGCACACCCGCACATGCACACCTTTTGCGAAAGTGTTCTGGCAATTCAAGCAGAGAAAGAAAAATTAGTTCGAGTTTAACGAGTTGTATGCGGAAAGGAATGTCCATCGAGATGTGTAATGTGTGTGAATATTTAATCCAATACATGCTTGTCTAAAGGGATGCAAATTGTTGAGTTTGAAGTTCAATCATGATTGTGTTTAGCTTTTTCTCAAGAATTCATCAGTTGTGATTTCCATCTCTAACCGCATGTTAATAGGAAGTGCTACCCTTATCTTCTATCTCTACTTCTGTGATGGGGAAGGAATTGCATGTGCATGCCTCTCCCAATCAATTAATCACTTGGCCGCCCGCTTTCCCCTCTCTTTTTTAAGTATAAGCCACAGGAATTAAGAGAAATTCCCCTAGAATGCTGTGTTGGATCATTTTATAAATGCACATATCTGCTCAGGAGCTTGTATGCACATGTAAGGCATGTGCAAGTTGCAACAGACCAATACTGAATATAATGGATCAAAAACACAACGTAATTCTCAGACTGGCAATGTTGCCATGCTGCCTACTAAAGCATATACGAGGCACCCCTTGAGTGTTATTTCCATGTTTATCCTCTGTGAATCTTACCTCGACAAAAGAGAGCATGACAATAATAACAGAAAAATACCGCACTGAAGGCATAGCAGGTACACTTGGTCATGAACCAATCTCACTTTTATGATCAGCAGATCATTAGAGCCGCCTTCTGGGCAGAACTGCACAACAAAAACAAGAGTTAAAAACAATCAGAAATAAGTAATATGTTCTACTGGTTTGAAAAGAGGGGGAAACATACTTATAACCTACTGCCAGTGCTCAATTGCAAGTGAAAAACAGCAAAAGATGAATTTTCATCAGATTTTAAGCAAGATGCTCAAATGATAGGAGATAACATTGACATTTCTTTCTACCCTAACATTGACATTTCTTTCTACCCCTTGGTTTGTTGAAATGAATTGACTCCGGGTAAGTAATCCAGTTAGTATGATATCAAAAGATTAAAATAGCAAAAAACAGCAATCATAGACAACTATTGAGTTCTTAGTGTTATATTCTCAAAATCACTAAGTTTAATGAACCTTTAAAAGCTGGCCTCATGTCAAATTAACAGGTCGAGTCGTATGACCAAAAGGCCTGACCCGAATATAAACATAGCTCGACCAACCAAGCCGACCTCTCTAGAAGTTTGAGTCCGAGATGAAAGGCATCTTTTGATCGGACTCCACTAGGGAACATCCCAGAGGAGAGAGCGATCTATCAATCTCATCAACGCCGTTCGTATTTAGTGCACGGCCAGTCAGCGTCCATGCTTCGCCGCCCATTGGTCATCGCATTAAATGCATGGTCGGTGTCAGTGTGTCACAATGATTCCTTGGACATTGCCCGCAGTGATGTCATTTTGTCGCTATCACATTAAATGTGAGGTTGGCGCCACTTTATATTTACCCAATCAATTGCCGGCACATGTAAAGTGGAGGCAGAACGCCAACTCCGCCGATCGGGTCGGATTACCAATGTGCCCCAACGAATCCTCTATAAATAGTGAACAACTCCATCATACTAAGATACCCCTGATAAAACCCTAGACTAGATTCTGCATTCTCTCTTTAGATTGTTATATCTATCACTAATTTGAGCATCAGAGGGCACATAGGGGAACCTCCTCTGGGCCTCTAACGTTTGTTACTTATGCCAAGATTTGCTTTCCTCAGTTGATCATGTTTTCCACCAGAGAAGAATAAGGGACCCTAAACTCCTCCAAATATCCTCATACTCATGCAATTAACTTTCTGACATAAACACTTAGGTAAAGAGAATTAATGGTAGTCAATAATTCTAGAAATCAACTTGCTTCGTGTGCTACTGGTATTGTATTATTAAGGCTCTAAGTTGCTTGGAGCAAAGTTAAGTATAAAAAAGTTTTTTGTTGTTGTTGTTTTTTTTTTTTTTTTTTTTTTTTTTTGGGAAAAATTTTTTTTTTTTTTTTTTTTTTTTTTTTTTTTTTTTTTTTTGAGTGGCTCCATTAAACAATGGTGGTCAGAGTATTGAGTCCTCAAGGATCCCACTTTTACATATCCACCAGGAAACAGTATGGAGAAAAAACTACCTTTAAAAAAACGAACTCTTAATCTATAGACACTTCTACATATCTTCTTATCCTGTTGAAATTTGCATATATCCCTTACATAACGTGTTATCCCCCATAGTTACATTCTTCGGTCACAATTTGAAAATGTAACATTTTCAAACTTCAAACTTGTGTTTATTTCTTAGATAGGTCTCAAGTACCAAAACCATAGTATAACTTGGGGTTGTATCAAAGGTCAATATAAAAGCTGAAACAGAAGAAACTTGAAATGTTAACTTTACTGCATATTCCTGACTTGTGTAGTTTCACTAGTTCCTTTTTTATCACATCCTAGTTCACTTAACTCTGCTTTCGCAATGCAGATGCTTCTAACGCCGTTGCCAAAGTGAGGAAAATTTACGACAGGCGATAACTACTGGTAAGGACCCACAATTGC